TAGGGGTATGTTAGTGCAAAGCACTAGAAGTGCCCACTTGAGAAGTCGGCTCCAGGAAAGACTGTTTCTCCTCAAAAGCCCAGACCCAAGAATATCAGTGCAGATGAAAGACCCAGAAAGGGGCTCTCCCCTGCTTAGAGAACTCAGAAAAGTAACCCAGAATCGGTGTGGGACTTTTGAGAGGTGCCACCTTGCAGCTTTCAGTAGGTTATGTACTGGGAGGCCTGGGGTTAGCCAGGTGGTTTGCCATAGAGTCAGCAATGGGGTTTTACACCAACCACTGCAGCCCAAGGAAAGCTCTGGAGATCATCCTGAAGGACGTGCAGGCACTTGGAGCAACTCTTCTTGGAGCTGCCCTTTCCACCTAGCTCCTTCTGCAAGAGGCAGGACCCGAGGCTAGAGGTGACCCAGCAGGCTGGTTTCCATCGCCCAGACCAGTTTAACAAGCAGCAGCCCAATGTCAAAGCAGTTATCATGTGTTCACCAGATTAAAATGTGAAAATGAAATTTCACAAGGGACTAGAAAAAATAACACACCTTCATGGTCAGCATTTTCCTAGCCACCCTTCCAGGTTTGTCTTGCTGAATCTAGTTCAGACACTGATCTCTTCCCTGTAGTGACCAATAACAGGACCCAAGGGTTGCATGAGAGGAGGCTTAGGTTAGATATTAGAAAAACGGTCTTCACCCAGAGGGTGTTTGGGCACTGGAACAGACTCCCCAGGGAAGTGGTCAAACACAAAGCCTGAAAGTTCAACGAGACAATGCTCTCAGACACAAGGTGTGACTCTTGGAGATGGTCCTATGCAGGCCCAGGAATTAGACTTGATGATCCTTGTGGGTCCCTTTCAACTGAGCATATTCTGTAATTCTGTAGTTCGGGCTGCCTGGCATGACAGGGGCTACACTTCCCATTGTAAACCATAAGGTTTTGGTTCACAGAGCTTGAGGAAGACCTAGAGTCACCTGAATTCAGAAAAAGTGTTTGACAGATTTACCCATAGTAAAAAGGGTAAACTTGTCGTTTCCACCCTGCTCACAATCACACTTGGCAAGAAGGGCCAGCAGGTGCAGGACCACAAGTGCCACAGCACTGGGGATTCTCCCAGTGCACCCTCATCAGATCTACACAGCAAAACACACACTGTTATTTCTCTGAAAGGCTGAGAAAGTCAGGGATGTTCAGCCTAGAGAAAAGAAAGCTCTAGGGAGACCTTTGAGATCCTCACAGTCCCTAAAGGGGCTCCAAGAGACCCGAGGAGGGACTTTAGACAAGGGCTTAGAATGACAGGACAACGGGGATTGGCTTCCCACTGCCAGAGGGCAGGGTTAAGACGGGATATTGGGAGGAAATTCTTCTGGCACCTGGTGAAGTTGCCCAGAGAAGTTGTGGCTGCCCCTATATCCCTGGAAGTGTCCAAGGCCAGGGTGGATGGGGTTTGGAGCAATCTGGGCTAGTGTAAGGTGTCCCTGATTATGGTAGGGAGGTGGAACTGGATGATCTTCCCACTCAAAGTATTCCATGATTCCGTGATATTTCAGAGAGCCAACTGAGTCAGGTGCCAGAGCACAGGCATACATATGGCAGGGAAAAAGCTTTAGGACAGAAGCATCATCTCCATTTTCATGTCCAGTTTCGGTGCTGTTGCTCAGCAGCATCCAGTGACCTCTCCGGAAAACAGTGAGGTTAATGCCAGAGTTTGACCCAAAGTGAGCAGAACTAGCTGCTCTTTGAGCTTTGAGGATCTCCTGCATGAAGGGTTAGCTAGGAGCCTGGACAGAAACAAGGCAAGCTTGGAGCTGGGATGACTGCAAATTAGATAAAAATAGAGAACCAGAAGCAAGGACGTAGGAAACCAAGTCTAAGATAAGGGATATCAGGGTCACACAGGAATGCAAAGGTCACACTGGGAGTGACGGCTGAGGAGAGTGCAGAGGGGCAGCCAGTCACAGCCCAAATCTAACCAAAAGGTCAAACCTCAGGAATGCCCACAACAGATGACGGCCCAGATCGTGCCAATAAACAGACTAAAGTGCTAAATGTGACCCACCCGCAGCCGGGAAGGGGACGTCAGCCTAGACGGCAGGTACTTGGTAACGACTTGGGACTTAGGAATACTTTCTAGGTTAAAAACAGCACAAATTCCACCGTCCAGAAAGCGGCGGGGCCACAGCCATCGGCTGCAGCCACAGCTGATCCAGCACCGGGCATCCTGGGCCCGCGGCAGGCGAGGGCCTCAGGACGGGCGGGGGCCGGGGCAGACCGTCTGTGGCAGCTACACGGCCGAGCCCGGCCCAGCAGAGCCCAGCAGAGATCTCCGCGAGACGCCGCGGGCTCGGGCGGCATTCCGCGACCGGGAAATGGAACGGAAGCGGACCCGCGTGGGGGGAGCCGGGCAGGCCGCGGGGGCCGCCGTGAGGCGCGCGCGGCAGCCTCGCGTGCTGGGGGGCGCGGGAAGGGGCAGCGGGACCCCCGCCCCGTCCCCGAGAGCGCGCCAGGCCCGCCCCCGCCCCGCGCCCCCCAATCACCGCCCGCCGCCACCGCCCGGGCTTGGCGTCCCTCGCTGCCTATAGGACCGGAGTGAGCAGCTAAGCCTTCCCATTGGCCGCAAGGCTGCCCATCTCGTAACAGTCCCGCCCCCTCGCTCCCCACCTCCCAGGCGCCCGGGCGGCGCCAAGGACACCAGGGCGCGACCGCGGGCCCCTGGCCCAGCGCGGCTCCCGGCGCGACCCCCATCCCGCTCCGGCCCCGGCCCCCGCCCCCGGCCTTCCCGCACGGCTGGGTCTGGCCTCACCGTCCGGCCCCGCCGCTGAACCCACCGGCGTGTCCGTATGCCCCGCTCGTGGCCCCAGCTCTGACAGCGGCCCCGACCACCGGTCCCGCCCGGCCACGCCCCTTCCTTGCGTCACCACGCAGCGTCACCACTCCCCCTTTGCCACGCCCTTCGATGGCGGCCCAATGCGGCTGCGCCGTCCGGCGAGAAACTACGGTGAGGCGGGGCAAGGAAGGGCACGGGCGTGGCCTGGGGTCCGCTGTAAGGTCTGGAGACCCTCGCCGTGGCCACCGAACTCTCACCGTGGCCTGGGGTCCACTGTATGGTCTGGGGACCCTCACCATGGCCACAGAACTCTCACCGTGGCCTGGGGTCAACTGTATGGTCTGGGGATCCTCACCATGAACTCTCACCGTGGCCTGAGGTCCACTGTACGGTCTGGGGACCCCTGCCATGTCCAGAGAACTCTCACCATGGCCTGGAGACCCTTGGTATAGCCTGGGGACACCCACCATGATTCATGGCTCACAACCCTCATCATGGCTTCGTAACTCTCATCATGCCTTCAGGACCCCAACTGTGGCCTGGGGACCTCTGCTGTGGCCTAGGGACCTCCACTGTGTCATGGAGGACCCCTTGTCCTGAGGCACCTCAGGCTTTTGGGGATATCCCACCATGTGTGACATCCAGCAAATGCCCAGCAGGGCACAGGAGGTGCTCTGGGAGCTCTGCATTTCTGGCAATTTCCTGACAGTGAGTCATGGTGGTGCCAGTCTTGGCCACAGCAGCTGTGCAGGGCTGGAAGTCACTTTCAGGAAGTGAAACGGATGCCAGGAAAACACCCCAACAGCCCGAATCCACGCAAGCCTGGCCACGCACATCCCTGGCCCTCCCAGCATGATGCAATCTCCGGCACACCGGATGGACATGAGGATGAGGAGTGTCCGTAAAGGCCATGTCTATGAATGCCATGTTCCCAGGAGATATGAGTGGGCACAAGAAACTGAGTAGAGAGCAGGGGCTTGCACCCACTGGTGTTGGGACAATGAGGACAAGAGGGGTGACAGAGGAGGTACAGCTGGCTGTCACAGCAGGGGTCTGGGCAGTGGAGGAGGAAGCCATGAGGAAATGGTGGAGTGGCAGCACTTGCACCACCAACCACTTCCGGGAAACCCATAAAGCCCAGCCCTGACAAGGGTGGGTGTCATCACAGACTGGGCTGAGACTGAGACTGGGATTGGGGTCAGAGCTGGCACTCAGTGAGTCCAGCGAGTTCAGTGAGTCCAGCTCCCTGCTGGGTCAACCGAATGGCAGGCTGGCACATGGTCACAGGCTCCACACATCAAGCCCAAACATCCCCTCTGCTCTCTGCCCCACACACCGGCCCTGGAGCATCCTTCTGCTCTGTCCCACAACCCTGCTCTGCCCCATACTCTGTTCCCAGAGCAGCCCCTGCTCTGATCCATGCTCTGCCTCCCCACTACACTGCTTGAGGGCAACCAACCCCCCTGTTGCCCGATGCCCCAAACAGAACACAAACTAACAGAGTGTCAGTTTATGCGGTGCTTTATTCAGGGCCCGGGGAACCTGCGGACTAGCGTCCAAAGTCAGGGTCCCACAGTTCCCTTTTTCGTCAATACCTTTTTATACCTTTTTACAAAGTAGTCCACGTGCAGAGGTATACATTCTTCAAGACAATACAGATACATAAATCTTGTAGATATCATTCCTAAAAGTTATAAATTTTGCATGCTTGTCTATTCAAAACTATAGGCTACCCCCCTTTAATTCCCCCTTGCATGTTTTCCCATCACCAGAACCCTTTATTTATTATTATACTTTAGCCTTATCCTGAAAGTTTCTAGATGTTCTTATATGCTCCACTAAATTCTTTAATTATCTTTAATTATTGTTTCCACAGTCCCCAGCTCATTCCCAGGGCTGGTTCCCAGGGCCTGTCCGAGAACTGCAGTTTTCTAAGCCTTAGCATGACTACTACTATATCTACATTAGTCCTTTTTCTCATTATTTCGGTATCACCCCCAGCCCTCCAGTCTCAACAGAGTAATTGGGCAAAACTGGGCGTTGCGAAACCTGGAAATCCCACTCTGACGGTGCTTCCTTCTAGAGGCTCTTGAAAACCAGCCACACTGACGCCGGGCTCAGAGAGCAGCCAAGCAGCACTGCAGGCAAGACAGGAAGAAGCAGGCAGCCAAGTGCCTCAGAAGTTTGCAGGTACTGTGAAGTTTCTGCCCAGGACTCTGCAGTCAGTGGCGGCAATGGCATTTGTCCCTGATTTGGACACACTGGAGAGCAGCAGGTAAGAACTGACATGCAGAGAGGACTGTGGGGATGTGTTGCTGCATTCCTGACCCTGACTTCACTATCTCCCTTTGCGTTTCAGCCTGAACGAGGAGACGTTGTATGGCCCCAATTGTCTCTGCCCACAGAAGGTAACACTGGAGTGGTGGGAGTTGTGGGGTCCATGTTGCATGGAAGCCAGGCTCTCACCCTGCATCCCTTTTCTTCCCCAGAAGCCCCGACTGGACTTGGAGGTGACATCGCCTGGGGTGGACATCCAGGTGACAGTGACAAAAGGACACCTTTCCAGGACCTTTCGCCAGGCTGCCGTCCTGGTGGCTGCTGTGACCAAGCTCCTAAAGCAGCCATCACACAACGACTTTGCTGATAGTGACCTTGGCAGCCTCTTGGATGATATTTTCGGTATGAGGTTGATCTCAGGGGTGTCACCCCAGCCAGAGGATATTTGTGGGGGTACTCTTGGACCTGGAAACAGCATCCTCCTGACTGTCTCACTCTCCACAGAGCCCGTCTCCTTCCAGTGCATCAAGGGCAGTTATACCAGGGCACCCGTTTTCCGCTACACTCGCTCCCAGTCCTTCGACATCCTGGACATTGACCACAAGTGCTTCGTACTGGAGTCACCCCCCCAGCTGGTGGCCCTGCATCTGCAGGGGCCCTCTGCTGGACGGAAAGGTGAGAGCATATGCTCCCATCCCAATGTCCCTCTCCCCAAACCGAGGACCACGCAGGAGCCACCTCGCAACCCCATGACCACCCATTTACCTGTCCCTTCTCTCTGCAGTGAAGCTCGACATTGCTCTGTACCGTCCCCGGTCATCGCAGAGCGGTCCAGGGTCTGGAAGGGTGCCGGTGGCATTGGGTATCAAGGGCTACCAGCTCTATATGTCATGTGTGATGAGTGACACGAAGCCCGTGCTGCAGCTGGAGGTGAGCAGGGAGTCCCACCAGTCTGTCCTATGTGGGGCTAGAGGCTCCACTCCACCTTGACGCCCATTTCACCCCCCTGGCTATAGGAAGCTGACATCAGGAGGGATATTGAGAGTGTGGAGCTGACCCGCTTCATCTTCTACCGCCTGGACAGCCCAGCTGAGGGGACCACCCGCTTCGAGTCGGCTGCCTACCCTGGCTGGTTCATTTGCACATCCCTGCAGCCCCGCCAGCCTGTCAGCATCACAAACACCCCAGACCAGGTGAACATTGCTACCTATGAGCTGAGTGGGCGCTGAGGACTCTGCATCAACCCAACCGGCAGTCACCGGTTTTCAGGCTGTATGTACTAAGTACAACCCCATGGGACACAACTCCCTTCCGCATCTATTTCATGTGAAATAGCAGCTCTGGGCCCCATGGGCTCGAGCCATCCCGATCTTATTTATTTATTTATTGTGTCTGCCCATTGCTTTGGTACTTATTTATTGTACCTCCTTATTTATTTTTGCTTTTAACTTGTATGTGTATGGAGGTGGAAATAAAAAGTTTTCTAGGACAGCATTGCTCAGCTCATTGCTCATGGGGGATGAGGTTATGGATGGGAAAAGCGTTCTGCTTTGGCTGTTTTTTGGGTGAAAACCCAGGGAGTGGGGGACCACCCAACAAACCAGGGATCATCCTGACCCGTGCAGGACCCTCCACCACTCTGTCTCCATGCCCACATCACAGCTGGGAGATGACTAAGGTGGGCATACCATGGTGGATCCCCGGCAGCTGCCTGGAGCTGTCTCCTCTACTCCAGCTGCAGCCAAGACATGGCATGGTGGGCCACAGTGCAGCAGGACAATGAGTGGCGCGGCGTGGCATTACAGGGTGTGGCATGCTATCACATAGTATGATGTGGTGTACCATATCACACAATTTCACACCACACCGTGCCTTACCATGTGGCACAGCATAGTGCAGCATAGCATGGCGTGCCGTGGCATTGTATGGTATCGCACAGCATTGCATGGCATGGTATGGCATGACATCGCGTGGCCAGACGCGGCACAGCATCGCACACCGCGCCGTGGCACGTTGCGGCTGGCCTGGCTCGGTGTCGCACGACACGGTTTGTCACGGCACGGCAGCGTACGTCACTGCACGCACCCATCCCGGCGGCTGCGACCACCGGAGGGGACGCCCCCTACCCCCTCAGCCAATAACGGAGCCAAAGCCGGCGATCGGCTCTCTCCATTGGTGGGTTTGAAGAAGGCGGTGGCCAATAAGTGCGGTGCGCAGGGGGTTGGGAGTGGCAGTTGCTGTGCTGCGGCTGCGAGCTGAGCGGAGCGGCCGGGAGCCTCGGAGCTGGGTCTGAGGGGTCCCGGTACTGGGGGGTGCGGGCGGCCCAGGGGCCTGAGGGGACGGAGCTATGAGGCCCTGCGAGGGTGCTGCGACCTGCGGACCCTCTGGGGCGGGTACCTTGTTGGGAGGCCACGATTCTGTGGGAGTGCTGGACTGGAGGCGGGCAAAGATGGGCCTATGGAGAGAGTGTCAGGGGCGGCCTGGGGAGCTGCTGAGTCCTTCATAGGGAGGCTAGGGGGAGGTGGATGAGGACCAGCGGGCGCCCACAAAATGGGCCCAGGAGCGCGGTTCGGGAGAAGGCAGTGTGGGAGGATTGAGGGTATAATGTTGGTGGGTCGTGTTTCGGGGACACACTTTGAAGGAGCGAAAAAAGCTAGAGGTTTATTTTGTGTATGCCTTTGTATAGAGTTTTACAAACTATGCCTTATTGGTCAGTAACAAACTGTTATTCCATAATAATTGGTCAGTCCAGAGAAGGTGTCTAGGTGCAGGGAAGAGTTTTTTGTGAAATACCGTTTTCATTATTATACTGAGACAGTTGGCAGTTGTTGAAGCAGGTGCAAGAAACTGTCCTAATCTGTAGAATTCTTTCACAGGGAAACACGTTGTTTCTTGCCATTGCAGGACTCTGTTCTCACAAAGAGTTGGTAGCATTCTCACAGTTTATGTCACATTAAGTCAGAATTCAGTCTGTGAGGCCTGTACAGGCCTGCTGTTAGCCACCACAAAGGAATGGCTTGAGTTCTGGTGTTTCCCAGTGGCTGATGGTATCTCTTCTGCATATTTTATGAGACTCTGTGAAACTTTCTCATTTCAGCTCCTGGCTCTGGCAGAACAAGCCTTGCTGCTAAAACTTCAGATCTGGAACCAGATCTCAAGGAAAGGGTAATGGGAGTCTCACCACTGGTTTTTAATGGCAGCTTCCACTTGCCTTTGGAATATGTTAATATCAGGAAGGGGCGTTTTCTGTGCATTTGGTAGGAAAAGGTGAAGAGAAGAAGCAGGATCAAAGAGCACAAAGACCAAACCAGTCCCTGTCACCAGGCTCTGGGAAACACCACTAAAATAATAGAAGATTCATGACCTTTTCTTTTGGTATAGAGCAGCACTTGGGCAGAACAGAAGATGGTCCCCTCACTCTCTAGGCTCTTTCTTACAGAAAAAAAAACTTACGCAGGCATTACTCTTCCCAGAGGGCTGAGCTGTTACCCTGGAGCAGAGGGATGGGAGATGGCTGCTGTCAGAGGGCTCTAGTTCTGTGCAGAGGAGGAGGGGAGGACAGAACTGTGTGAGCTGACAGTGGTCTGCTGTCCCACATTCCTGCTTAGCTGCCAGTGCCTGGATGGCTTCAGGGCTTGTGGATCAGCCACGCTGCAGTGAACTCTGGTCAGGATTCTCCAGACACCACTAGGATTTGCAGCATGGCAGCAGCATGACCTCTGCTGTCTGTGACACACAGAGCAGTCTGGGAGCCTCCAGCCCCACTACCCTGCCAGACCACCACCTGCAGGAATCATTTTGGTTAGTTGTGTTGTCCATGGAAGTTTTGTGACAATCTTGGATGTTAATGGCTTGTGTTACTTTTACGTTGCCACATAAAAGAAAAATGTGGTAGTATTCATTGACAGGTTTTTGATTTCTGAAAGCTACTTCTAAGCTCCTGTGCCTGAGACAACCACCAGTGGGTTAGATATTTAACTCTTTCTGCTTCTCTTATGGCTGATAAATAACCTGATAGCTTGTTGGACTTTTATAGACCCTGTTTAAGGAACTGGACTAATCACCTGAATCCACCCTTAGGAGCAGTTTCTAACTCAAGCACGTAAGTAGGAAGCTCTTGAGTCCTTCGTGGTTTAAGTGAGTCTGGGGAGAACAGGGTCCCATGTCACAAATGAGTGTTTTATGGTCGCTTAAAGAATCACTGGCAAAGGTATCAGCAAAAGCAGGTTTAGTATAAAAGTGAAAGAACTACAAAGTTCATTATCAAGCTTCACTCTACTACTTACTGGATGGTTAAAGCACATAGAGAAAAAGCAAGCTAAAATCTCAAATCAATCACTCAATCTAAAACCAAAGCCAACCCAAAAATTAGCTACGTGGAGGCTGGGGAAGTGGGGCAGGGGAAGGGTAAGGACAAAAAGGAATAAGGAGGGTCCATCGAGTCACAAGATTTAGAGCAGACTGCCTTGCTAATCTGAGCACTGGGCTTGACAGCACTTAACCTATTCCATAAGTGCTGTTAAGTTAAACAATTTAACAAAGGATTCATATAAAATTTACTGTAGCACAGTAATAACTTGCTTACAGGCCTGACTTAAAAATCTAAAGTACTTAAGAACCAAGGAAAGCCACATTCATGGAACATTTGCTCTAGCATACTTAGACACATATAGACCTAAAGAGTTTGTATAAGGTATATATCTATGGAAAATTCTCCTCAAATTCAATGAAAGACTCATGCTGGTGCCTTTGTATCTTCTCAACAGGCAAAGGGTTGAGCCTTGGGGGAAGGGGATATCAGCCCAGGCTCTTACATCCTTTGTTGTTCCTCCAAGTCAGCAAACGTGAGAGTTTGCTGGCTCTGAAAAGCCCCTCTCAGGGAGATGCTGGTCACAGCCCACAGCAGTCCAAGAGAGCTCAAAAGGTCTCACTCAGGATTGCTGCTTATAGGGTCACAAGAGAATGTACTTTAGTAATAATAATTTTTCATCCTGGCTGCAATTCAGATCTGTAACTTGCTTTGAAAACCACATCCCCAAGTCAGGGTCATGAGTTCCTGACTCCAAATGGGGGACATATCACATATTGCTGAATAGCTGGCAATGAGTCAACTAGCTATTTTTCAAAGGAGTTTAGCTTACTTAGGAGTTTCCGTTTGGGAGACTGATCCTTTGCCGATGTCCTGGTGGGTGTTGTGTTATTGTTCTGTTGACAGCTGCTTTGTCACATGAGTGTCCCCTGGGCAAGTTGTAAGGGTCTGACCAAGCTGTGCTCTCCTTGGAGCTGAAGGCTGGTTTGTCTTTCCAGGTTGACAGGAGCAAGAAGGGTGTTTTTGGGAATGTGATGGCGGGTGCTCAAGAGGATGGCAGGTTTAGAGCCAAATCCATGCAACACACTGGCCACACTGCTCAGAAGAAGCCTTCAAATACATCCCAGGGAGCAGGAAGGGTACAGCCAGGGAACATCATGATGCTTCCTGCTTCTACGCAGACTAGTGGCAGGCTCCCACTTTCAGGCTCTGGTCACCTAAACCCAGAAAGGAACCAGAAGCCTGCACAGGGGACCGTCACTGCTGCAGCAGCTCAGGTGGAAAGTGACCTCCCTCCTTCTGGAGCACCTCATTCTCTGAATAATGGCCTGCAGGGCAGGCCAGTCTGCCACAAGGAAAACCTCGACCCACGAGCCTCCACATCCCTGGAGCTGATCAGAACTTTCCAATCTGATGCAAACAGTCTCAGGAGGATGGGAGTCTTGGCCCACAGGCAAAGCTCAGCCGTAACATCAAGGCATGTTCTGGGTCCAAAAGGCAGAATTAGTAACCACCAGCCTAAGGAAGAGCCAGTTGTGGATAAATCCAGGAAAACCCTGCCAGAATCAAAGACCATATCTCAAAATACAAGTATCAGAACTCAGCCATTGCAGGCATCTGGATTCCTTCCTGATTCTGCTAATTTGCTACATAAAAACTCTGGGACAAATCAGGGAAAAACTACTATGGTGAGGCAACCTGGCACAGCTCTAGGGGGAAGTCTTAAGCACCACAGCCAATCTCCCCCAGTGAGAAGATTCCCCACCAAGCCTCCTACTTTGGGCAAGCCCCAGGGGACCACAAACCTGGAAGGCAGCCTGAACCCAGGTGTCACTTTGCCATGGCCAAGGCTCACAGTTAAAGAGGGCACAGACAAGAAGGACATGAAGGTGGTGCTTCCTGGACACACAGCAGCATGCCAAGGGACAGGTCACCCAAACCAGTCCTGCAGTTGGTTGCACAGTTCCAAAACTCATGTACTTGAGGATGGTTTGAAGAGAGAGCAGCTTAAACCAGAGCTGCCGAAGGCAAGTGGCATGCAGGCTAGGCGCATTCCAAGGACCCCATCAGCTGCAGACCGTAAGTAAGTGGCAGCTTGGGCCGCGTCGGTCCTGTCTCCAGGAAACAGCAGAGTTTAAAAGGGTTTGAGCCAGCACTATCCTGCTGAAAACAGAGTCCAGAGTCTTTTGAAAGACTGTTGGGAGGTTGATGCCCTGAAAAAGAAGGGGTTGGGGGTTGGATGGCAACCTGGATTCCTCTCCCACCGATTCAGTAAGTGGAAGGGAGAGCATGTGGCCACTCTCCTTCTTTGACCTCAAGGCTTACATTTGAGAGCGTTTTCCTTTCCCAGTCCAGAGCTCAGGTGTGTTTCTGAGATAGATATATTGATTCTTTCTAAGCACCTGAAGTTGGCTAATGGGAGATTCCAAAGAAAAACAGCCAACTCTTGCCAAGCTACTGTCTGCTGGGGTGGTAACTGTGATCTCTCGGTCTTTGGACAGGAAACAGCTGGAGGAGTGGTTGGCATCCAAAGGCAAGAAATACAAGCGGCCACCAATGGCACAGCTTCAGAAGCAGGCAGTGAAGCCATCCTGTAGAAAGCTCAAAGCAAAAGAGAATCAAGAGAATCCAGAGCAGCACTGCCAAGCAACGATCAACAACATATTAACTGAGTGCCTGAAGCTCGCTGAGGAGGTGGGAATGGGAAAGGAGCTCCTTGAATGAGCTTCTCCTCTCCTGGAGCATGCCACGGGGTGAGGGCCATGTCCCTCCAGTAGCTAAGAGGGGTTCAGTTGCCAGAGGGGAAACATAGGAAAATAAAAGTCCTCAGTTATGGGTAGGCCAAAGGCATGCAGTGAGCTGTGCTGACCAGGAGAATGGAGAGGTACCCGGTCAAAAGGGACTGTTGTGGTTTAACCCCAGCCGGCAGCCAACCCCATGCAGCTGCTCACGCAGTCCTCCACTGTTGCAGTAGACCTCTCGTTAGGGGTAGAAACGAGCCAAGACACACACTTAACATGAAAAGTGTCTCCGTTTATTCTTTATAGCTTAGCTATCCTGACTGATTACAGCATTACTGATTGCTGGTTATTTCCTGCTATACTATGACTGCAAGTACTGCTTTGCAGACTCCAAACGCAGGCTTTCACCTTGCTTGACTATGACTGCAAGCTCCAACAATAGGCTCCAACCCCATCAGACCCAGACTGACCTCACAGCAGATCTTTTACTAGCAGTAATTCTCTTCCTTGTTTTGTTCTTCTTTGTGTCTGCCTGGATCATTCCTTCTCCCTTAGGGCTCCTCTACCTCCTCAAAGCTCTCTTTCTCTAGGTCCTCTCCCTTGGGGTCCTTCTTGACCAGCCAACCCACTCCTTTTATCACACTTACCTTTATTACTCACAGCTGTGACCCATTAAGAGCAAGGCTGTTCCTCTTCTTTGGTAATTAGTACAACTGTGACTTATCAGGGGCAAGGTCGCCTGTAATCCCTTCTTCCACACCTACACTCCACCAGCAGGACTAGGAGAGAATCATAAGGGTAAAAGACAAAGAATTAGTGGTTGAGGTAAGGACAGTTAATTGGGAAAGCAAAACATCGACTCTGCTTCCCATGACAAGACAGGTGTTCTACCATGTCTAGAAGAGCAGGACCCATCACATACAGTAGTGACTTGGGAAGACAAACAGCATCGCTCCAAATGTCCCCCCCGCCTTGGTATACTGAGTATAGGGTCTGGAATGTCTCTTTAGTCTGTTGGAGTCACCTCTCCTAGCTGTGTCTCCTCTCAGCCTCCCCACACCTTCCCAGCCTCCTTGCCAGTATGGCAGCACGGAAAGTAGAAAAGGCCTCAGTCCTGTGCAAATCCTGCTCGGCAATAATGAAAATACCTCTAATTATTGTTACCAATGACAGTGGAGGCACAACTGATACCAGCATCAGTCCCATATTATCTAAATAATGAGCTAAAAAGCTCCTCTTTCCCACAGCAGCTCCACACAGCATTGGCTGCTTCTCTCCTGCTCTCTTCCTTCTGTCTCCTACATCACCAGCTAACTCCATCCTGTCCCTTACATGGCCACCTAACCCTGTCTGTCCCTTGCACAGCACAGGCAGCAGACTCTCCTCAACTAGCTAACCCACTCTTTTATAACACCCATTCTCTTTGGATGAGTGAGGCTGTTTCCAGTCTTTGATAATTAGCACAGCTGTAATTCATCAGGGGCAGGGTTGCTTGCAATCCATTCTCCTACATCTTATCATCACCGTGTTTATCACAAATCCCAACTACAGCCCCATACCAACCACTGAGAAGGAAATTAATTCTACCCCAGCCAAAGCTGGGGTAGCCAAGCACGGCCCTTGTGTATGTCACTGACAGTGTCCTGGAACCTGGCAGTGCAGTCTGCAGCAGCAGCCCAGGCTGATTGAGCCAACTCAAGGTAGATCCCTGGTGGGTGTCACAGTTTGAGGTATGGCCCTGGTCGGCAACAGTTGCTGGGAACACCAATTGCTAGCCCTGCTCCGGGGTTTACTGGCCCAGATTAATGCCAGCACTGGAGTCTATCCTTTGACACCCCTATGGAATACTAGATTCAATTTTCCAAGGGGAAGATAGAGACAGGACAGCTTTTATCTGCCATGGCTATATAGGAGACTCGCAAACCCAGGCTTTTGAGGCATTGCTCCTGGAGAGTGCTGGGAGCTGTGGTCAGGCACGGACTGCTTCCTGGTGCACACACTTGTCCATGCCATGGACATCTTTCTTCAGGCCCTTAACCTTCTCCTTGCAGGGCGTCCATGTAGAGGAGCTCTCAGCAGTGCTGGCCTTTGTGCCCCAGGCAGAGAAATTTGCCAAATTCTGGATCTGCCAAGCAAAGCTGCTGGCCCAGAGTGGCCCCTTTGATGTGTTGCAGCTGTACAGAGAAGCAGTCATTGCTGGGGCTGAGGTGAGTAGGGCATGCCAGCTCTGCGTGTTCCCTGCCTCCGCTCTGGAGGGCTTCCTCGAGTTCTAGGGGCCAGGTTTTGGAATGAGCTTAGCAGCATTATTCACTGGTGAAAAAGTACTTTAGAGCTGCCAGTCCTATTCCATGCTGCAGAATGTGCCCATGCAGGGTGAGCACCTGGCCAGCTGTGCTGGGTGCTGATGGATCCCGCTAGGCAAAGGGGAATCCTGCAGCCTCTTCCTGCTGTCCTCAGTACGGGGTGTTGTGGTGCAGCAAAAGCCTTTCCTCCTATTCAGCTGAAACTCTGGTGTCCTTTCCCATGCCAGACCTGCCCTGACCCATGTTCTGCTTTTCCTGCAGCCAATCGAGGAGCTCAGGGAAACTGTTCTCAATATTTTGAAGGATGCAGGCCAAAAATTGGAAGGTAACCTAAACGTTGTGGAGTTGACTGGAGCATGGGCATGTGGGGGCTCCCTGGTGTTGCCAGCCGGGAAGCAACACGGGTTACAGTCTGTCCCAGCACCTCATGTCCCTCCTGAGGAGTGTTGTGAGTCTGGTATCCTGATCTGAAAAATGGGACACTGTTACTCTGCCTGGGCTAGGGAGGGTCCTTGGCTAGCAAGCCTCTGCAGGCAGGCACCCTGCCCTGGTCTAGAGTGCCAAGGTGTAGTCCCTCCGCAGCAGCTGCTCTCTGCAACTGTGTTGCCCTTTTCCTCTCCTGCCAGGAGAAAAGGCGGAGGAATCTATTCCTTGGGAGCCTAGGAGATGTCCAGGTGAGAGGCAGCCCATAGCATCGACTCCAGGCCTGGTGGGGGGGCCCATGACCTCCCTTCCCCCCTCAATCAAGTTACAGGTTACACCTGCATCCAGGTAAGGCTGAACCTCCTGCTCTTGGTAGCACACACCCTCCATGCCAGTGGTCTTCTGCAGGGTTTACCCAAGGCTCTTGTTCTTTATATAGAGTAAGGGAATTCCTGGAAGGCCCAGAATTGAAATTTCTGACACCTGTGCGGCGCTCACTACGGATTGAGAGGGCTGGGAGTCACTACCCAGAGATGCTGAAGGACCATGACCCTGTGGTGTCATCCCTCAGTGAAATCCTGGATGCTGAGGAGGAGACTTGCTTCTTCTTCCGGAAAAATGTGGCTTTGCCAGAAGTGACAGAGCTGGAGGGTTTGAGTTCATATCCCCTCAAGAGCTCCTGAGGGGTTCCCAGCAGGGACAGGCTGCCTGCCCACCGTGCTGCCTGGTACACAGTCCCCTGACTGCTCTTGCTCCCCTCAGATGTAGAGGGGAGGGGATGGGACAGAATAAGCCTGTTTTAAATTCTGTTTTAAATATCTAAATTCTAATATCTAAATTCTGTTTATATTAAAATTTGCAGTAGAGATGTGTGTGGGCTAGTGAGTGGTTGGAGACACCAGCTATGTCTCCTGGGACTGTGTCCCCCAGGACTGCCCTCAGCTCCTCTGCCATGACACACACACTTGTTTTCCTGCTGTAGAATGGTGTCAGTTGGACTGGAATGTTCCAGGCACCTCCCAGTGTTTGGAAATAATGTCCTGAGTGATTTATTCTGGAACTGCCTTGTGCCCTACCAGGACAGCATCTATATGTCCCCTACTGAGAGGCATATATTTAGACCCGATGTCTGGAGGCACAGGTGGTAGCAATGGCTCTGCCTGAGGGACCTGCAGTGCCCCAGCAGCTTCTGTGAAGACCCTGAGACTGACAGCAGCACCAAGGGTTGCAGAGGGCCTTGGGGTGCAGCAGGCCAGGCCCCCAACTTCTGGACATGGTTGGCATCTGGGGACAGATGAGCCTTGTAAGTGCACTCAGGCCCGCTCTGCTGCTGTCCCTGCACATGGGCAGGCAGTGGCACAAGGTACCAGGCAAGAGGTTGGTGAGGGGATTGGCAGGTGTTCTGTGCTGTGAACGGTGACCATACAGAGCTCTACTGTCATCCACTCAGCCCCAGCAAGCAGTTGTCCTGGCCCCATCACGCTCTTTTTCTTCCTCTCTCCTTCACAATGCACCCAACCCCAGCCTTGCCTCAGCATCTCCACTGAGTCATGGATGCTGGCAGAAGTCTCAGAGCAGTGTGCTGGAGTTCTGGCACGTGTCTGTCTCCACTCTGTGGAGCGCTGCTGGCCTGCCCCCTCTTCTGCAGAGATAGGGATAGCTCGGGGCCACCACCTTCTCCCCAGGGGCTTGGGCTTGTCCCAGCTGCTGGACAAGGATTTGGGGACTACCTTTTGCCTCCACCTCTCAGGTGCAGGGACAAAGCAGTTTTCCTTTAAAACAGCCAATTTTACGTCTGTGGTGCCAGGAGTTTTGAGTCTCTTTTATAAATAGAAAAAGGTAGGAAAAAGAAGAGGGGGAACAGAAGGTGAAGGGGATTCCACTGGAACAGCTGTCACCTCCACAGCCCCACCCCCTCCACTCAGCATTGCTGTGCTCAGGGCTAGACCCAGAGGCTAAAAGGGCAGGAGCTGCTGGGACCCCAACTGCTGCAGTGGGGCTTCCAGTGATACTGCAGCAGTGGCACTGCCTGTTCACCCTGGTATTGGATGGTCCCAGGCGGGCATTGAGCTGGTGGGAGAGGTACGAGTTAAAGGGGCATCAGGCAGATATGAATTAAAAGGGCAGGAGCTAGCAGGCAGTCAGGAGAAGGTTTCAACTGCCCAGGGACAGGTGTAACAGGGGCCATGAGTCAGGGCTACCAGCCATCCTGTGGCCACCAGAGGTGGTAGCTGGCCACGAGTGGCTTCGATTTGGCAGTGCATGTGGTCCAGGGCCCTCTTGTGGGTCTGGCACCAGGCATGGCAGCAGTTGGGGGCGTGCTCAGGCTTCTCCATCATCTTCCTCCTCCCCACTCGAGTCCTGGGGGACCTGAGACAGTGCAGAAGGGGCTCAGTGGGCACAGGACCCCTAGAACATCAGGGTGGCAGGACGCCCGTGTCCTGCCCCTCTCTTTCCTGCCACCCACCTGCTGGCTAGGGTCACCATGCTGGGCCAGCCAGGGAGGAAGGGCAGCGACCATGTCCCCCGAGTCCGGGCGAGAGTGCTCCACTGTTGACTCATGGGCCATCTGCGGGGGGGGGGTGGACAAGGCTCCTAGAGAGAGGCTGGCACCAGCCAGCCAAGGGGTTGGGTGCCCACCCAACATTTCTATCAGCCTCATGCCCCTCTCAGGCAGGGAGGGAAACTGAGGCACAGTGGGTGACCAGCAGGGGCTGGGAGCTGCATACCAGTACAGGGGGTGCCCGGAAGAGGTAGCTGAAGGGGTAATAGAGGAAGTTGATGAAGGAGGCAGCATAGAGGTCTGCGTAGCGCATCAGCTGGTTGGCAAAGAGTGTCTGACGTGAGCCACAACGGAAGAGGCTGCCCATCTTCCCGTAGCACATGTCCATCTCATGTGTGACTTTCTGTAGGTGCAGCAGGATAGTCAGGGCACCCAACGGCACGTGGGGGGGCCCCCCACGGAGGAAGTTGTGGCAGGGGGGTGAGCTGAGCTGCGTGTCAGCTGGGATAGTGCCCTGGGTGTCACCTGGATCCGACGCTTGATGGAGCTGATGTCTGGGCGCTCACTACTGCCACTGTCCAAGTGCCTGGAATGGAACAGACCAGGCTAAGGGCTCACCTGGAGGGTTCCCCACAGGTGCTCCCACCCCTGCCTGCCTTCCACCCTAACCGACTCACTGGTACAGCTCGGCCAGGAAGAGATCCAGGCTCCGCAGCTCCTCAAACAGCTCTGCAAGGGCAACACGGCCAGCTCAGTGCAAGAGTATCACCCACTGCCCAGCATAACCAACAAAGAGGGTCAGGGCATGACCCACTGAGACAGTTTTGCCATTGAAGGATGTAGGAGGGTCCAGGCCACCTCCCTTTGCATGGCAAAGTCTGTGTCCCCAACCCGGCATTGCTCACCACTCTTCTCCGTCCAGACCTGCAGCTCACGGGCCAGCTCAGGCACCACCAGAAAGGTGCGCCAGCCCTGCCTCTTCTTGGATTTGAGGATGTCCCCGAAGATGTGGTCCCCCATGTAGAGGATGTCTTTGCCCTTCACACCCAGGAGGTCACACACCACATCTGAGGAGCCTGTGACAGCCGGGGGTCAAGGTGGAGAGGGTGGGCATGTCCCCCTATGCTGCCCACAGAGCCCAGACAGAGCCCCATTGGGTGCTTACCACCGGAGTAGACAGCACAGTGCTGGAGGGGGCCAGTGTATGTCCCAATGCGCAGCTTCCCCGTGTCCTGCAGGATAAGAGGACCCCAGGATGAGGACACTGTTGTCTGTGCCTGCTTGGTGTCCAACCAGCTGTGAATCTACCTTAGTGCCGAGATAGTGCCCACCACCCCAGCTAGCCCTGCAGTAGGGGAGAGGTCCCCACCGTGTCGACTTGGCGCAGGACAGTGCCCTCAGCAAAGAAGAGGGGCTTGCGGGTGTCCACCACAATCAGATCGAAATAGGACCTCCAAGGGCGCTGTGGGACGTCAGCCTGGGGATGCCAGGGAGGAGGTCAACAAGATGTTGATGGGCATCCTGCACCCACCACCCAGCCCACATGGGGACAGATTCACCTTGTCCTCATTGCTGAAGTCAAACAGGTAGGACATGATGGCCTGCAAGGACATTTGGCATCATCACTGCTGCCCCCAAGGAAGGCAGACCTCACCTGTGCTTCAACACGTCCCCTCTGCCTCCCCCATCTGAGCCAGGTGATGGGGGACATGGACATCCCCTACTCACATCAGTGTAGGTGTAGTCACTGTTGGTGGCCAGGAAGATCTTCCCCACCTCCTTCATGCGGCTCAGCAGCAGTGGGACACGGGGCTAGTGAGGGGCAAGTCAGTGGGGGGGAGCACGGGGGTGGGGCACAAGGAATTGACCGCGGGGAACAGAGTAGGGAGGGGTCCACAGGGGTCTGTACAACTCACATCCTTCACCACATATTTTTCCAGGTTCTCTAGCGTCTTCTCCTTGAGGCAACCCTGTAGAAGGGATGGAGTGGAGCTGGCCAAAATCTCCCAGGGTGTGCGTGTGGGAAAACCCCAGCACTCTCAGCACCCACCACGATCAGCCCCCTGCCCATTGCACCCACAGAGAGGTGGACATGGTCCATGGCCTCGCGCACATCCTGGAACATGCTGCGGAAGGACATGAAGAGGTTCCCATGCTTGTAGCCGGTGTCACAGCTGCAACAGTCAGGAAGGGAGGGGGTGAAGGGGCTGCCCTGCTAAGGGAAGGTCCTCCCAAGATTTAACCCCTGTCCAATCCAATACCAAGCCCCCACCCACCACCTCCCTCTTACTTGACATATCTGGAGCAGTTGGTGAAGAAGTCCACGAGACAGGCATAGAGGTGGGCCTCTGTGGGGGAGGGGTCTGTGAGATGGGGTGCAGGGCAGGACAGCAACCCAGGGTGGTCGGAGGGCTAGGACAATAGGGATTCTCACTCACCTGTGAGGTTGAAGAGAGTGTTGAGGATGTGGAAGCGCTTCATGTCGTCCCTCTGGATGAACTTGTTGGGGTAATAGTGGAGGATTTCGGCTCTGGGGAGGGAGCACGGAGCTGCACTCCACCCTGAGGGACCCCCAACTTCCCCTTGCCCTAGGGGTGCTGAATTCACAGACTCACCCCTTGAGGAAGCGGAAGCCATGGGCACAGACCAGCAGGTTCCCATGGGAATCCACCTTCAGCAGGTTCCCGTACAGGGCATCAAACACCAGCCCCCTGCACCACACAGCTGTCAGTGGATGGGGGACTCACTTCCCCTCCCATCTCTAGGACCCCCTTCACAAACTGACCGGGTGGGGAAGGTGGGATCATATTTGTAGGCAAGGATCTCAGGAGGGTACCCAATGGCGACAAGGTGCTCCAGCAACAGGGTGAAGGCCAGCTCCTCATAGTCAGGGGACTTGTACACTGCAGGGGGGAAAGGGGGATATGAGCAGGGGCTGGGGGGATCCCACCGCTACACCACCCTGCCTTAGGGCCTCCCCAAAACGCACTGGCCAAGGTGTAGTCCATGTCAAAGCCAAAGCACTTGATCTTCTCCAACGCCAGGCTCCGGTTGACAAAAATCCTGAGGGTGACCACGAGGGGAGTTACGGGATGAGGAGAGGTTTAGGGCTGGGGGTGGCACAGAAGAAAAGATGGGGTTGTGTCTCCCTATCCCAGTCGCTGGTCAGTGCTCTGGGAGGGCTGTGTGCTCATCCTAGCCCGGGGCCCCCACAGCAAGTTACTGGAGCAGAAAAATGGGCTGTGGAGCTGCAAATGGAGCTGGAAGAGGGAGGGGGGATAGTGAGCCCCTGTTTGGACCTGCCCCCACCCCGACATGTCTATATGACACCCAGGGCCTCTGCCCCCTCCCATAGCATCTTTCCCATACCTGAATCCCGGGGCCCCTTCTTCGGGCCTTGCTCCCCTCCCCATGTGCCCTCCCCACCTGTTCTTCCCCAAGCCCTTGCCCCACATCCCCGAGTCCGGCTGCCCCCGTTGCCCGTCAGTCCCGCCGCAGTCCTCAGCGCACCGGTGCTGGCAGTCCCTCCGCAGCGCCCGCGGATCGCCCTGCCCCGGGCCCCGGGCCGCCGCCGGGCCCCGCTGTCCCTCGCTGCCCATCGCCACCGCCTCCGGCCACCGCCTCCGGCCGCCGCCGCTTTAACGGGGCCCTGCAGGACCGCCCCTCCCCGGCCGGGCCCGGCCCCGCCTCGGGCAGCACAGCCAGCATGGAGCCGGGGCACCCCGAGACGGTGACCCCCAAATGCGGCAGTCATCCCCCCCATGCGGTACGGACACCCTCTCACGCGTGGGCCCCGCACACGGGGAGTGCTCCCTATGCCCTCCCCGTTCCTCGGCCGTGCCACTGCGCTGCCCCCATCGTCCCCCCCCGGGCCCGGAGCCCTGGGCTGCTGTTTGCCCAGCGGCGCCGCTGGCAGCGGGAAGAGCCCGACGACAAATCATTAACCGGGGTCAGGGACCTGACCCCGCCGCCGCCCCGATGGGAGCGCATCCACCCCGGCCTCACACCAGGGGGAGATGGGGATACGAGGGAACACCCCCGCCCCACCGGGGCTGCGTTAGCGTCTCCACGCAGCACGTAAAGCACCTCTGGAAACCCACGTCTGTTGGACCACTCCCCCAGCACTCCCAGATGCCCCCACCGAGGTTCTTGCGACAGCCCGGGGCCGCTGACGTGGGGACCTGGGACCGGCCTTGACCCAGGCAGGAGGGAGCATCCCACGGCCCATGGAGGGGCAGCGCAGAAGCTGTTGACCCAGGGCTGTGGAGGGACAGACACACACCCCCACAGACGGCGAATGGGGCTGACGACGGGGGCAGGAGCCGTCCCCAAGTGCAGGGCCCCGATAACCCCTGCGCAGGGCTGTTTACAGCCCCTCCCATGATACAGGCTCTTATCTTTGTCCCCAGCTCGCTCCTGGGGCACAGGGCCAAGGTAGGGAGGGCTATGGGGCAGCGCCTGGACCCCACCGTATCCCAAATCCCCAGAACCACAGGCAGCACTGGCATACGAAGGAAATCTTTATTAAGTCCGAGGTAGCAGCAGTGACGGGGGCCAGAGGGCAGGCCCCAGGACCCCCGAGCAGGATGGTGTCCACAGCACTACGGCAATGGAGACAAAGCTGAACACTGCAGAGCCTGCAAGAGGGGTACTCCACGACTCCCCAGCCCTTTGTTCCAGGGCAGGCAAGGACGAACCTGTCCTTCCCTCAAGAAATCACTACCCGGAGAGCAGTAGAAATGAGAAAGTGGCCCCCAGTAACTGCTTATCTACAGCTACAGCAGATCGGGGGCTCACCTGGGGGCAGATACAGCCCTGGTAGCATCCCCCCCACAATGTTAGCGCCAAGACAGTTATATTAAAAAAAAAAAAAAAGATACTTCAGTGACAGCACTATGCGCGGATGGGCGCAGCCGCCACCCCACAGCAGGCAGCCTCAGTGGCTCCTCGGGGGAGGACAGCAGTGGGAAGCAGGAGCAGTAGGAGCCCTGGTGCCCTCACACCTTTAGGACTCCGAACCTGAAGACAGCCATGATGGCAGCGCTAATGAGGCCAGAGATGGGAACAGTGACGAACCACGCCATGAAGATGTTTCGGAAGAGGCGCCAGTCCACTGCCTTCCTGGAACGTAGCCAGCCCACGGAGACCACAGAGCCCACCTGCCCAAGGAGTAGGGGCACAGCTCAGCACCAGAGCAAGCATCTGCACCCCCTAAAACATGCACTCCTTCACCCCCCAGGCCGGAGCCCTGGGTCCTGCTCCAGCCTGTGGGGACCTCACAGTGCACAGGCAAGGAGTGCGGGACAAGGATCTGCCACCCCAGAGGGGTGACAGGACCCTGCAGCACTTGGGTTCCCATGGTTTCTTGGCAGAGTCTAGGGGACCATGAAAGGGGTTTTGTTCTCCCATCATCTCCCAAGTGTCCCAGGAACCCACCCCGTGGCTGGGCAGCCACTGCCACCTCACATTGAGATGCAAGCAGCAGAGCTGGGAGCTGACAGTGGCCAGCGGCCCAGAGTGGGGCCTCCAACACAGCTCAGCCCTGTGAGCATCAAGATTCGGGAACACTGAGCTCACAATGTGCCAAAGCCATCCCTCCACCTTCCTACCTTGCAGTGGGTTGTGCTGATTGGGAGGCCAACATTGGAGGCAATGACCACCGTCAATGCTGATGCCAGCTCAATGCTGAAGCCACTGAAGAGACAAGAAAGCAGATCAGTACTGGGCACTAGATACCCCAAAAAACCCAGTGGGCTCAAGATAGCACAGCTTGGCTCTCCAGACCCCTGGATGAACCCCCCTAGGATGCAGCAAGGCGTTGGAACCACACACATCCCAGCTCCACCACTGAAACCCCAGGAAAGAAGGGAGAGTGGCTCCTGGAGCAGAATGCAGCTCTCAGGCTGCCTGGAACCTTCCCTCTGCTCCATGGTAGCCCTTACCTGGATGGTGTGATGGGAGTCAGGTCCTTTCCCATTGTCTGGATGACTCTCCTTCCCCAGACCCACAAGCCAATGCAAATCCCTGCACCCCCATAGAGAAGCAGCCAGATGGGAGTTGCCACCTTGGTAGCCACATCACCCGTCTGGTAGACCAGGAAGAGTGCAACCAGGGGCCCAATGGCATTGCTGGAAGAGAAAGGGGATCCAGTCTAGAGGGCCAGAGGCTCTTGGCAAGATAGAATATGAACTGGATAGTGACAGATATAAGTGGAAGTGTTCAAGGCCAGGTTGGATAGTGCATGGAGCAACATGTCCATGGCAGAGGGCTGGAACAAGATGATAAATTTAAGGTCCTTCCACCCCAAACTATTTTGTGACTCCAAGATTCTGTGAGCACTAGCCCCAGCTAGTAGCCTCCCTGGCTCCCACTAACTCCACTGACCTGACATCATTGCCACCATGAGCAAAGGAGCCAAAGCAGGCCGTGAGGATCTGCAGGAACTGGAAGAGTAGGGACACCTCAGGCTTATCCTGCTCATGCCACTCTTCCAGGGACCTACTGCTGCCCTTGCAGTCACTGGCACCCAGCTCTGCCTGGGCTGTGTTCAGGTCCACATCTGCAGCTGGGTGTGCATCCGCTACTGCGTTGCAGTAGCTCGTGTAGCTGTCCATGCGGACCCTCTTCTTAGTGTCCACCACAGACCAGCTCAGCTTCTCCCCATCCTCGCTGTCCCTGGCACGCAGAGAGTCCAGGGGCATGCCACAGATGGCCATGGTGTAGGAGGTATAGCTGTTATTGCGCCGCAGAGGCTTGTCCCCCGAGTCCCCCATGCAGTCCCCCATCTTGGCTAGATGCAGCTTGTGCAGCAGCTCCTTGTAGAGGCCAGAGTCCTTGTGCACAGTGTGGTACTGGTATTGCCCACCTGAGGCCAGCTGGTGGCCCACTGCCTGGCTCAGGTGGACCAGGTTGCCATTGGGCAGCTGCACAGCTCCTGCCAGTAGGAACAGCAGGTGGAGGGGTTAGCACCAAGGGTTGCCTGGGGTTGGGGAAGTCTCACCACCTGTTTCACCCCCTGCTACTCACCACTATCAATGCTTGTTTCCTTGAGGTCGAGGCTGGGAAGCCTCTCCTGCTCCGGGGCCTCCTCCAGCTCCCCCAGGTTGAAGGAGACCATCCTTTCCTCCACCACTGCCCGGAGGGGGATGGCTGACCCTGCATCAGCAGCGGGGCCCTTGGCATCACTCAGGGGCATCTTGGCCTCCTCTTGCTCCTCCTTTGAGCAAACGTTCTTCTCCATCAAGGGGCTTTCAGAAGGACTTGATTTTATCTCTCCTGTGAAGAGGGGCAGCCACCATCAAAGCCCTTTCCACCACTGCACCCAATGCCAGCAGCAAGCCCACACCCCTTGCCACTCAGATTTATGGCAGCCAAATAAAATTTACAGCTCCTCCTCATCCTGAACTTTGGAAACTGCTGGACAGCCAGACCTTGTCCCAGGCACAACAGCCAAACCATCTAAGCCAACTCATCTCCTATTTTTAGGCACTCCCACCCACACTGGGTGTGGTGAACACCATTATGAGGCTGTTATGTCAGTAGTGTCTAGTGCAGAGGTTCCTCTTTGGGCCATGTTTGTCCCATCCCTGTGGGCAGTGGGATGTTCTGGACTGGCTATGACCCCTGAAGCTGACAGAAAGGCGCCCAGAAGAGCCCAGCTCCTCTACCAGCCCAGCAGCTCCAGACTGGGCTCTTCTCCAGCTTCCACTGGTAGATGACAAACCCAAACAGGAGCTTCTCTCCACCTCCCAAAGGCAGCCTGGTTTCCTGTCCACCCTGGGGAGGCAAACCAGCAGCACCCAGCCATGGAAGCTGAGGCTGTTCCTCCACCTTTAACAGGAAAAGCATGTTTTCTCCAGGTGAAAACATGAGGTCAGCTCCTTCAGACAAACCAAAACCAAAACCGCCTTCTTGTCATAAACATGACCATTTCCCTGTCACTTTGTTTGCCTCGAGGACTAGGTTGTAGCATCAACCCTTCATCCTGGCATCTAGTCCCAGCAGAACTGTCTCCCCCTGCATGCCCACCTCCTCCCAGGGATGCTGTGGGCAGGCAAGGAGCATGTCTGCCAGGCAGAATAGCCCACCTCACCTCACCTCACCGGGAGGAATTAAGTTAAACAGCTGGCATATTGTCAAGAGCAGCCATAAAGCTGTTAATCACACCCCAATTACACCAGCACAACAAGGACATCCCCTCATCACCAACTCCCAAGGCCCCAGCTTGCACACATCATTGATATTCAGGACCACATGTAGTTCCAAGCACTGCTCTGGAAGCAGAGCTCAGGGCTGATCCTTTGGATGCCTTTCAATAGAATGTTTTGGGCTTTTTTTTTTTTTTTTTGCTACAGGGAAAGGATTTCATCAGCTTTAAACTTGTGATCTGCATCAGCCAGGCCAAGGATTGCTCAGCAGGTATGAAGAGATTAAAGGTTACAACAGGCACATTGTCTCTTGCCTTCTCTCTCCTCTATTAGAGTGGGACCAGTTGTCTGATACTTCCAAAGCTCCAGGAGAGATCACCCTGCAGATCAGTCAGCCCCAGACACTGCTCAGCAGCACAACAGCTGCTCCTG